AGAAATGTATAATATTAACGCCGTGAAAAAACCTACCAAAGATTGTCAACCTGAATATTGAGAGAATTTACTTTGCTAGAAATTTCACGATGGGTTACAATTTGCCCTATAAAATTTAACGGATAAAAAAAAAAATAAAGCTCTGGGTTTTTTGAATTTATCAATACAGTCAATAAGAAAAAAATATCTTTACCATTTAGTTTCCATTGGGACGTATTATTAGATTTTCGGATCATTCGCGTAATTACGACATTTCTACCTCTATTCTTTAATTCAATTTCAATTGATGCGCGTTCTTGGCCGTGTTTAACAAAATCTGAAATCTCTTTTGCACGTCCCAGAAGCTTGAATAGCAAAAATGAATAATAAAGACACAAATTAAAAAATCAATTAAAAAATAAATGAAAATAATGAAAATGAATATAATAAATCTTACAGATGTATTCCATCCAAGGCCTAGAGCAATTGCACACACGATTGTACTTTTTCCTGTCCCATTAGGACCAATTATCATATTAAGATTAGGTCCAGGGAAAAACTCTACAGAATCGTACGTGACGAAATTCTTTAGACACACTCGAACAATGGAACCAATTTGGAACCTGTTATTGTAAGCATAAATCATTTATCTAAAAGATCAACCAGAAAATAACTACTATATACAAATTTTAACTTTTATAAACTTATTCGAAACATTTTCATAGTGTGAAGAGTACGTTTTTTTGAAAAAGCATAAATGACTCACTCTTCATATGCCTTTTGTCTTGAGAGTTTCTCAGTATTAGAACTACGCCTCGAAGAGGAGGCAACGGAGGCTTCTTGACTTAGTCTTTCTTCAAGCCTTATCCTTTTAACGCCTTTTTCTAAAGCAACCTCGTCTTCACTAAGGGAGTTTTCACCTGGTGAATGCTGCCTGGACAAAGATTCTGTTTCAAGAATTTCTTTTCCTTTCAATCTAGACATTGTTATTTTTTATTCATAAACTACTTCGATCGAACAATACGGTTGAACCAAATTTATAATTATATATATATAAACTATACTATATTAAAACCTTCAATAGCGATAGAGGGGAAATCGAACAATTAATCATGAGCCATATTTAGCAACCTAGTGTGATACAACGATTTCATATTTAAGCTTATTCATCCGCTTTTGAAGAATTGAGT